GGAACTCGATCGAAGGCTTTGCTAAGGTCTGTGTAAATCGTGTCAACTTGGAGACCACGATCTAATGCATCACTTATAAATTCCGTATAGTCAACTAGGTTAGTTGTGGTTGATCTACGTTGCATAAAACCATGTTGTGATAAAGCTATTAACTGTTTGAAGTGGTCATAAAGATATGGACACACAAGAGACTCAAGTATTTTAGCAAGGGAAGAAAAAATAGAAATGGGTCTATAATTCGCTACCAGGTCTTTCCCCCCCCCCCCCGACTTTTAAATAGGTACCACTTTTGCCGTTTTCCATTTTTCAGGAAAAACTCCTGAGGAAAGAGATTTGTTATATATTGTGAGTAGAGGTTTTACCAAGTATTTAGCACATTTACTTATAAAAATAGGTGGGATGTCATCAGGGCCGGCATCCTTATACAGGTCCAAGTGTATTAGTTTCTTAAGAAGGGTTTCATAATTCAAAGCCGGCGGGCACATGTAAAGAGTACTATTATCTAGTTTAGAAAAAAAAAGTTTCTGTTCCATATTCTGGCCAAAATTAAAGTTATTACTAGGAGCGTGTACTGCTTTAAAGTGTGTGGAAAAAAGTTCACAGACTTGGTAACCATCTGAGGTACAAGTGTATCCATTAGACATAGCCGAGGGATAAGAACCAGTGCCACTGCGTTTGTTTTTTACATAGGACCAAAAGTATTTAGGATTAGTGTCGATTTTGTTTTCTATGTCGGAAATATAACGCTTATAGTAATCAATGGCCATTTTTTTGCACCTTTTGCTTAGTAAAGTCAGCTCAAACCCGTCCCTTTCATTCTTGTATTTTTTATAACGTAGTCTTATTTTATTTCTCTCCTTCAAACTTCGAATTAAGTTTCGATCAAACCATGGAGGATAGCGATTTTTATTGGGTTTGCATAAAGGTACGTAATTATTGATTATATCTCGTATCTTCAGATAAAAAATGTTAACCATTGAGTTGACGTCGTCAATCCCAGCGAAAAGCATCTCCCAATCGCACTTTGTTAAGACAATAAAGATATTATCATAATTAGCTTTACGGAAGTTACGCTTAGTCGTGACTATGTTAAAAGGTAATTTAGGATTGCTGGCCAGGGAGATTTCAATTTCCAAGGGAGGATGCATTTTATCCACAACACTCAAAACACCACATGAGTGGGTCACCTCACACGATGGCATATTAGTAAGTACAAGGGCAAGAATTCTGTCACAATTATTAAGTATAGTATTGTGTTGCTTTAAATCATTAGTATTAACGAAGTCTATAAATGGTTGACATGAAAGAGGGACATAAAATTCACCACCAGATTTGCTCCAGCTTATATCTCTCAAATTGAAGTCACCGACGATACAATGATATACAGAGTTTTCGAAAATCTTATTACAATTTGTGGCGAATTTTTTCAACAAAGAAAGGTTGACGGGTGGAGGAAAGTAAACTACACAGAAATCAATTTGATGAAGGGAACGTGCCGCCGGCAATTCCACCCGAACCCAGTTCTTCGATATCGGATTCCCAACCAATCATTCTTTTAGATTTAATTTTTTTTGAGAACGCAATAATGGAACCACCACCCTCTTTTTTGTGAGAGTTACAAGTCTCAGACCGATCCCGCCTGTAAACCACATACCGTTCATCAAACAGCTCTGAACTACTAATTGAGTCTTTTAACCATGATTCAGTTAAAATTATAATATCATAATTGTGACAAACCACTTGAGAGTAAAAGGAATGCGTTTTAGTTCTTAAACCTCTAACATTTTGGTAATACAAACTTAAACCAAACATACAGATCTTATTTGTTATTGTTGCTATGGGCGTTAAGGCAACCTACTCTAAAGAATTAATAGTGTCCATATTGCGCATTATATATACGGCCATTGCGCACCCACACATACTTATATCCTAAGGTTTTCGCCTTCAATCTAGCAGCCGCATGTAAGGCTTTGTTAGCTGGCGATAGGTGATCACTGATGTAAATCGGTGATGATTTGCCAGGCAAGCCGAGAACTGTCGTGTTAAGCTTATTACTTAAGTTGTTCCTGTTGTATCTCGACACTGAAGCTTGTCACGAATACGCGGGGACGATAATTGAACCACTATAGATCGCGGGCGAGTGCTGGTACGGCTAGCCTTTGCGGTGCGTGTAAAGCTTAAAATATCTTTGTAATGCAACTCACAGCCCACTGCCTTACTAAGCATAGAGACCATCTCTATCAGGTTTTCATTTTTGTTTTCAGGAATGCATTGTATTTCAATATTACTATGACGCAGATATTGTTCTGTATTATCGCAACGCAGCTTAAGATCTTTGATGCAGCCTTGAAACTTTCTCTTTCGTCATTGATTGACATAACCTTTACACATTTAAAGAAAAAACTTTTTACCGGATTAAAGTTATGTATTATTATAAATTTACAATTATTTAACATAATTTTAAATTTATCCGATGTTTCGCGTGCTTTACAGCGTGCGTGGTCACGGTGACTGAAGACAAAAGGTGTTGAATGTCAAAAAGAAGAGAAGCTGTAGAGAAAGTTGCATTATCTGTATTTATTACCCCGGAGTTGGTATCGACTAAAAGATGGAGGGTTTTGGCAAAAATGGCTCACGGTGTCCTCTATTTTCGCGGATTGTTTTTATTTTTGAGATTTTAATTTGGATATTATTGAATCCCAGGTTTTTGACAATTTTAGGCCGTCTTCTCTATTGAAATTGGGGTGTTTTTTGATTTCAATGGCTTCGCGTACCAATCTTGGGAAGAATTTTTTCTCTTTCGCAAGTACTTTCGGTTGGTCAAAGCGTATGCAGTGATTAGGCCTATTTAGTATGTGTTCACAGACTGCTGATTTTGTGTGTCGTCTATGTCTTATGTCTGCAATGTGTTCTTTGAGTCTGCTGGACATATTGCGTTTAGTTTGCCCTATGTAAGACAGGCAACAGTCGCAATCCAGTTTGTATATACCTGCATCTTGCAATGGGGTGTACTTTTGATTGGTCTTAGGAATTGCTGAATCTTCTTGTGCGGCTTGAAAATTGTATAAATAGAAGCTCGTTTTAGGATCCGGCTAATTCTATCTGTAACTCCCTTTACATATGGCAAGTAGGCTGGCTGGCGGGGAACTGTTTGTGTCTTGTTTTTGTGATGCAGCCGGGGGATGCGCGATTTATAATAATACATAACTTTAATCCGGTAAAAAGTTTATTCTTTAAATCTTCTCTTTCCCTTTCCAGTACAGTTACTTTAGAGTTACTTTAGACTTAAGGATCTCGCACTCGTTTCTGAGTTCATCTTGTTGTTCTAAAATTAATTTAGCTGACTCGCACATAGCAAATAATTGTTTCGTGAAGGGATCCATTTCTTTCAGCCATTTGAATGACGGAGCAACTGAAAAATATGCAGCGATTGAAAATTTCATGTCTGCTAAATTGCAATGCACCTTCGCTCTATCAGACAAGGTAAAACCTGTCCTCCGCAAGTTGTTTCATGACTTTCGCAAAAAGTGGCAACAAACATCAAGAACTGAAAAGAAATTCTTGCAAAAATATTCTGAAAGGTTGAGCGTGTTTCTTTCGAAGAACAATCTTCAACAAAATCCCATAGCCAAAACAATGGAAGGCATTTTTTAACGCTTATTATTAATATCCGATCCATTAATTTCGAGCTTTCGCGAACTGCCACGAAAAAAATCAACTTGCTTCAGAAGCAACGACTTTGATAGTTGCGCCACGTATATCAGCAAGTACAACAGGAAGCTCCAGCGATTTACAAGTTGAATGAACTGATTGTGAATCAAATTATTCTTCGGATGACGATGTATGAAGTTCAAAATTAACCAATTTTATGTTTTACCGTATTATACAACATAATTATATATTTTATACTTTCTCCATAAGTGTTTTTTTTCAAATCCGCCATTTTGTTTTTATTTTTAATTTTGACTTCAGATTCATAATCAGCGACCCGAAAACCTCCGAGTACTGACTTTCAGCCAAATTTATAACTTATGACAATGCCGTGTTGATATGAATATTATGAATGTTAGAAAGAATCCACAAATATTTTTAGTAAAATAAGTGAAAGACCTAATATTAATACTAGAAATAGAGATCAAATTGATCAACCGTCATTCAAATTAGGCAAAGTACAAACATCTTTTAGAGGGACTATATTAAATGTTACAACAAAATAAATTTAAAACTAAAACCTAAGAAAATTTATTTTTAAATTTATTAAAAATACATGTTGTAGACTAGCATATTAAAAATTAGAGGATTATATTCAAGATAAAAATGCTTGGAAACATGCTGGTCCTGCTACATTAGGTAATCAAACTAGACAAAATCAACTAGTTGCAAATCTAGTTATATAGGTTTATAGTTCTTTTTTTTTTTAAAAAGGAATCAACTTTAACATAGCTCTCACTGTTTGACTGTACGTTTATTATTTATTTTCTTAGAAAAAATAATGTAAAATCTATAGTCGAAATATTTGGAAATATGTAAGCATGTATCTACATAATAATATTATAGTTATCTGTTGCATTGTTTTTTATAACACCATTCCTATTTTATTTAGTATAGTAGGTTTTTTTTGTTCTCGGTACATGGTCTTCACATATTATTATCAAATCAATGTCTACAAAATATTGTAAAAACTTTTAAGAGTAAGTATGGAGTTTCTTGCCCATTCGTCACCATATGAAACTACCTTTTGGAAGGGGCAACTAATCACTTGTAATTTTGACTTTCAAAAGTGCCTTTTTAATAGGCCTAATTGAAATGATTAGATTTTTTTTTGTGTTACTCGCCAAAATACCACCATCTTTTAAAATATTACTTTGGAAAAGTATGTTGCCAAATAAAATATTGTTAAATTTATTTAATACTAAAATCCTATTATATATGTGATAATATAAAAGAAAGATACTTACCAACTAACCAATCATATCATTATATGAAAATAAATGTATTACCTGTTGGTTGACCAATGGCACTGTGTTGACAAGAAAGAATGTTCTTTTACCACCTTCTCCCCATGGTTTCTTTAACTGATTCATAAATCTCTTAATAAGACGTCCAGCAATAAATGTTTTTCCTGAACCTAAAATTTTTAGTTTCCTTTATTAAAATGATAGCTAAGATAAATATAACTTTACAGTTTTCACAATTAACATACCTGTTGGTAAATATATAATTGTATTTTTTGTTATACAAATTTCTTCAAGTTGTACTTGATATAATCTTGGTTGTAAATTTTTAGATTGAGAATCCATTATGTTATGTAAATTGTACCTGAAACATACAAGTACATTATAATTTAGTTTATAGCTTAATGGGCTCATTTTAAATGAGTTATAACTGTCGTATATTACGTCAGAAATCATCGGTCAAGAAAATTTTAAAACAAAAGTTAATAAAGAAATGATTGTTACACTCAATTCCACACATGTGGTCATAGTTCATACCGTCATAATAAACTTAGATAATTAAATGTTATTATTACAAATAAAATATGAAAATTAAACTATATACCGTAGAGTTCAATGAAATGGAACAACAGGATTTAATAAGTTGTTTTTATCAATTAATATATATTATAATTTAATTATAAAACCCACTAATAAGTTTTTAATTTGCAACAACTCACAATTATTTCCTCGCATCAACTGTTGTGTTGGCTCACCGACGCCTCACTTTAATAATAAAATTCGCACTCGATTTGTATTTGTTTTGACATTGTCGAATTTGTTATGTTTATTCGTTCCATTTTACGAAATGCTCATTTTTTCTCATTTATCTGTACTAACAAATCCGCCTTCTCAAATAAAATTTATATTTTTGACGTCAACTCTTTGATGGAGCCGGCTGCACGGCACGAAAAACATACTCATGCGGGTTACCTCGCTCTGAGGCGTTACCTCTCTCTGAGGCGTTACCTCCTCTGAGGCGTTACATTTAAAATTGACATAATTGTATTTATGCGGTACAAATAAATGTAATTGAAAAAATTAATTGTGTTTTCTATTTACCTCCTTCTCTATATCCATACAAAATACCTATCAAACAAATAAAATTTAATTTTTTTATTTGAAAAATGCAACCATCCCATAATATTTTTTATGAGTTGTATTAACTATTATAAAATTTATATTTTTTAAATATTATTCAGTAAATCCAAACAAATATTTTTAATTTGTAAGCGAAACTCATTTTAAGTTGTTTATTTTGACATTTTATTTAAATTACATATAATATAATTCATTTGAAAAATGCGTTCAATGAAACGTCATCACGAATAATTATTTTGTCTATTCTTGGGCTATAACCCTTTACTTTAAAAACACCGTACACCACGTGGCAAACTTTAGTTAGTTTAAATTATTTATGTTATATAAAATTAACTCTATCATCTATTTTAGTAGTAGTTAGGTAGTACAACATTTTCTCACTACTCAGATGAATCAGCTAGCGAAAAAAAATCGGTTGTCTGTAAAGTCGGTTTACTGACGATAGTTGAACGTGACAACGCATAAGAAACGCTGCCGAACGCGGAGGCCTCTTAGTCGCTCGTTCCGCGCTCTTGCTTGCATTTCAAGTCTTAAATGGAACGCCTCAGAGCGAGGTAACGCCGCATGAGTCATGTTTTTTCGTGCGTGCAGCCGGCTCCATCGAATTATAAGACGTTGTCTGGTCAAAAAGTATTTTTTTTTACCAACTAGGTACACAGTAAAGGTTTAATTGAGTTTATTTTCTGAGAGCTGTTTACATAAAGAAAAAACGTTAAGCATGGTCACACTGTGAACGCTCTATATTCAATATGATAATCATCACTCATCAGAACTAGGTATGTAACATTCTGCATAAAAAAAATCGATTTTTGAAGTTATACTTCTTTAGGCGCGTTATGAAAAATTTATGAGAGTGAAATTTTACAATGCGCGCGCACCCGTGACACAAAATTAGGAGTGTGATTATAGCGTGCGCGAGCGAGATAGGAATAAGACAATCTACAAGTAAAAAGAAATAGAATATGCGTGAAGTTCGTATGCCAACAATTTTGAATGACCATAATGACATTTGTCATTTACCTTTTAAACAAATAAAGGAGTTTTAATTATTTTTTCAAAGAAATTTAGCGATGCTTTTTGAATTATAATCAGAAGTGATTTAAATTGAATATTTAAACCAATACTAATTAATATTTGTGAAAAAACTTTGCTCATCAACCTTCCTAAGTGCTTCAATACAATTGAGGTTAACTATCCGTATGTATTATTATTATTATCGAGTAATGTTTTGATTAAAAAATTAACCACATTGTTTAATCAAAACATGTAATTTTTCTGATTTTATCTAGCAAATATAAGGAAAAGAGACAAAAAAGCAATTGATGAATCAGTGTAACTGCACTAAATTGAATACAAAAAAAAGAGTTTTCATCTTATCGCTGTGAAACATCAAAAACTGGAGGTGGAACAAAGCCAAACTATTTTTAATATTGCCAAAGAAGTATAACTTCTTACGCGCGTACAGAAGTACACGGACCCTTTTTTTTTATCAATCGATTATTTTTTTAGCATGAAAAATCGATTAATAAATTATCGATTTTTTCCTTATTTTTAAATTAATTTCAAAATAAACACTCTACTTAAATATTTTATGTTTAATGTTTTTAATTAAAAATAAACAATAGAAATTATAAACACAAATTAACGTTTAAGAATAACCAAAATCGAAATTAACTTAATCTCGTTTTGATAGATTTTAGGTGAAATTTGATAATGCTGAGTGTATGCCTTTTCAGTAGCACATTGCAGTATTTTTGTTTTCGCGGCCGATTAGTATTATTAAAGTTATTACGAAATCGTGATAATTCATCTTGTTTTACGAGTGAGACTCTTGGAGTCCATTATCCCCCCCAAAAGTAAGTTGCAGTTTAAACAGAGATTACCCCAAGGGGGGTACCACACGTTTCCGCTGTGGAGAATCCCCCTCTGGGCATCTATGATCGGTACAATCAGTATGCGGTGGTGGATGCACAGGCTGCCCTTCGTATTCTTGGAGGTCAAAACCTGCGCTAAAAACTTAATATCTCGCAATAGGAAGAATTTACCGAAGGCAACCCCTTCCACGCTCACAGTGGACTTTACCAATGTGAGGGGGCTCAATTCTAACCTCAACGTGGTTCACTTTCACCTAGAAACTCAAGTCGGCTTTCTTCCTTACTGAGACTCAGATATCCTCCCCGGCTGATAGGTCAGCAGATTAGGACATACGAGTACAGTCACAAAACTAGCACTTTTTTGGGCACAGCGCGCTTTCGTTATGGAGTAGCATCATTGATAACCTATCTTTATTATCTGCAGGCTTCTCAAATCTGTGGCCAGTATACATTTATTTTTTTACAATTAAATTTGAACTTTTGAGTCTTCACTACTAATCTGTGAATATAACCTAAAGAAATGAGGACATTATGTTAACAATGGAATTAAAAACAATTTCTTTAAAAGTTAAATGGTCCATTTTTTAATAGGTAAATTGGCAATGTACAATAAAAATAGGAAAACCTATAGACTATTATTATTTTAAGCAATGTATTTACTTAACTTAATATAATATATACGAAAAATAATGTGTTCTATAAAGGCGTACAACTGTACAAATTTTATTTTAGTAATTGTTTTTGCATTGCTAAATATAAAGCCAGTTTTACCTGGAGGTAAGTTACTACTTGACCATAATCTTTTTTTTCTGCCTGAAACACATATACTTTTACGATTTTCAGCAAATGATTTGCATTTTCATGATGGGTCGTCGTCGGCTGATGTCATAGCCGGAGATATATTTTTTGAGATACTAGATCCGCAAGAATTGCGTTATTCATATAGAATACGACCTGCCAAAGATTTTGGTGCAACTTTTGTAAGTTTAATATTTTTGTTTTTAATATTTGTGTATCCTATTTTAAAATTATCTATTTCTCCCATACAAAAATTTAAAGTAGAGTATTTTTTTCAGAATGGCAGCTTTCACATGACGAAGGCAAGATTAGTACCAACTATACCTATAAACAGTTGTTCTGATCTTCACAATCAAGAAGACATCTCTGGAAATATTGCTTTAGCTGAGAGAGGGTAGGTATTGTACAATATTTAACAATTTAATAAAAATCAGGTTATGCTCATGGAAGTAAATAAGCATTTAATTATTGTTCAATTTAGCCAATACTCGTTGGTCTATTTCTATTATTATTAATTCAGTTATTTACATATGGCTTTTATCTGTTATTCTTTGAGAAACACTAGTTCAGACCTTGATTCAAAGAGAAATGACTATAAAATGAAATTCAAGTTTTTTTTAGTGATTGCTCATTTGTTTTTAAAACTGCCAAGGCTCAGCAAGCAGGTGCAAGGGCTATTATTATAACAGAGTCTGTTCACAAATGGGATGACGCATTGGATCATCTAATAGAAATGGTGGATGATAAGTAAGTAGAATAGACTTTTAGTAAAGTTCTTTAGTATGTAACAGAGGGTATATAAAATTGATAGTCTGTTGCTTTTTTAACATTATTTTTAATGTAGTGAAAGAATTCTTAAAACAAGTCCTTTGACAGAAATAAATTGAAAAATTTTATTATCAGAATAGTTAATGTAGAATTTTTGTTCCATTGAACAATTTGTTTTCTTGTAAGCTAGTTAGGTTTGTTTTCAAATCAAATGTTGATGTTGCACCATACAAAATTTATTTTTAAACCTATTTTCAGAATGGACATAGATGTCAATATACCAGCAGCTTTTCTATTAGGCCGTAATGGAGCTACCATTTTAAGAACACTTAAAAAGTTACATATGAAGTATGCTATAATAAACCTGCCAGTTAACATGACTTATGTTCCAATAAATAAAATGAACCAACCACCCTGGATAACATGGTAAATTTGATGTAATTAATTTAAATAACTTTTATCTTTATTTAGTATATACTGTATATGTCGCAGTCAACTAACTTAATTAGCTGTTCAATCAACAGCCTAGACTGTTAACTAAACAGTGCTGTAACTAGTGGCCTGAAAGATATTCAGCCAGTTTATCAAACAGCTAGTCAAATTACTTGGATCAATGATGAATTAAAACTTGCATAGCCTGTTGACTGTTAATTTAAATTTAGTTCCTCTTTCTGCCACTCTCAAACTCGAAACGAAACTTTTCAAATGCCAAACCATAACTTTGATGGTGTTTTCTAAAAGTTTAATGTACAACCACAAGTCCTATGGAAGAGTGTAGTGACAATTATAAAGTGAATTTAGTGAAGAAATATTTTTTATATCAGATATTTCATCTCTTTTATGTCTGGTCACTCTATTGTATGAATGGCCTAAGCATTAGCCAGCCAGCCATATTTAATGTTGTTACAAATGCTACAACTAAATATCTGTCAGGCCTCTAGTTAAACAGCGCTGTTTAGTTAAAAGGCTAGGCTGTTCATTGAACGGCTTATTAATCTAGTTGGCTGCAATATATACTTTACAAAAAAAATACACTTCTCCATCAACTTGATTCATGTTTTAGAACATGATTAATAAAATATGAATATCAATAGATGTCTGAAGGAAATAGACACTTGTCACAATATTTGATGCTTGAATTTTTGCTTACTTTTTATTTATTTTCTATGGACAATAAGCTAAAAATAAAAGTTTGTTGATATTCTACATTAAAGGTGTGTATTATTTTAATTATATTCTATCATTAACATATAACAACTGGAATCTCATATATAAACTCGTTTTAATTTATAGATATGGTACAACCGTACAAGTTGTATGGTTGAACTATAACTTCGAAAACTCAATGAAAACATTTAAATAGAATGAAAATCAAAGGTTAAATTTCCATTAAGAGTTGTTTGTTAATTTTAACTTAAAATATGAATTAACGATGGACAAATTACAGCTATAAATATAAGTGAAGTTTGCAATAACGATATTATTTTACTTATTATATTTATGTGTATGTTAAAATTGACTTGAATTTAAAATGTTTCTGGGATTGGGTACCCTAGAAATTCTAGTCCTGTCAATTTATGTATAATCTTAAGTTCATATAATAATATGGTTTTATGTAAATGACCCTTTAAGTAAACAACTTTACAGTCTTACAAGGATGTTTTGGCAGTTAAAATAGATGTAAGTGCATTAAGTGAAACTAAATATGGAATTTTCAAATAGGATCTATTTGGATAAAATTCTATTATGTGCCTTGTGCGGCTGTAAAATATTATTACAATATATTATTTGTGTGAAGTATAATTTATTACGTTAAAACATTCCCTTTATTGTATATAATGTGTGGTTTGTTAATATAAATTGTTTGAAAAGTTTTTATTTTTTTTTTTCACCTTAGCTATAAACGCAACTCAAGTATAGGTAACTCAACCAAGAGACTGTTGCATACAGAAAGAATTATATAGTAGACAATCATGGAGTGTAAATTTTTTTTGAAGGAATTTAAAAACTAATATGGAAATCGACGGATTTTATTAAGATAAAATTTCGGCCAGTGGTTCCTACTAGAATATAAATCTTATCCACTCTCCACCTTAAACTCCAACGTATGGACTTACTTTTTATGAGGTTCTCACGGATGGTGGTAGGTTAACCAGCAGCGTTTGTATTGGAACGCTCCAAAGTCCAGACCGAGGGCGAACTTATCACTGAATAACGTCTTATCAATCGAGCAGATTTGCAAATCTAGGCAATCCATGGCTTATCACTAATATCTTCCCCTTGCCATTGAGATAGTTGTGTGAGTAAAGTGAGATTTTTGATGAATCCTATGTGAAATTAGGAATTGATTGAATTACAGCTGTATTCAGTAGTTTATCAAATTATCTTTATTGGTATATCTATATATCGAACGATGCAACTACGAATCTGAATGGTAGACTAGTTCACGCCACATATTAAGGAAAAAATAATCTTTACTAAAATCTTTAAAAACCTATTTTGTTATATATTATCTCTTTACAAACAACAAGCTGTGCAAATAGAAAGAATCAGTAGCGATGGAACAAACATTTGCGTGTGTTTGTTCAACATCATGCGATTGAGCTATTACGATATGATTCCTAGAACGCGCCTTGTGTTATTCCATTAACGCTTTAATTGTATACCATTTTATGGTACTATGCTGAAAAATATTTTATCTACTAGCAGCGACCCTGGTGCAACAACGGCACTGCTATTTTCTTAATTGTTTCGGTGGGTTATTTAAAGTTGACCAGCATTATTATTACAGTTGGCCAAATAGTGTTGATATAAGAACATATCATAAGTGTTTTCTTTTGAAGTTTTACTCCTTTTTAATTTAATTTTTACGATGTGCGCGCCCACCGTCACGAAAAACCGACACCCTGGAGTTAGCTATAGGCAACATTTTATTATATGATACTTTATTTAACTAGATACTGCGTTATAATAAAACTTTCAATGTATTAAATACCTTTAATCTATTGTTAGTATCGTTTTTTCTACAATACAATATTTGAATAGATTTTTATCTAGTTACGCCAAAGAAGTATAACTTCTAACGCGTGTACATAAGTAAACACACGTCTTTTTTTCATAATTTGGACCCTTCATTATTAAGGTTTAACATAAAATTTGTGTTATTTAATTATATGATAGTTAAATCTTGGGAAATTGGTAATTGGACAATAACAAAAATACTAATAATGCTAATGTTTGCTTTATAATTATGAATATAGATAGTCTAAAAATGTGTAAGTAATGAAAAGGTACAAATTGTAGCGTAAAGTTACATCAGTATGCAATGTCGTCACGGCGGCGGCCGGCCAAGTGCATAAAAAATTCAGCAATCCCCGTTTCGACTTTACGAACGCTCCTTCTGTTACAAGTAGTATGTAAGTCAGAATACTCTAAAAAGACGATGTGACGTCTGATTTTAGAGAAAACATACTTATACTCCATACGAGTAATAAATGGAAGTAAGCAAATCACATACTTATTAAATTTGATTAAACTAGTCTCCTTTTGATTTCCCCGAAAACAATATATTGTATACGCTACATGTGAATACAAAGCAAAACTCAATTTAGTTTATTTACCTACGGGAAGTCAAAAGCTAAATTGTATAAAGGACTTTACTACATAATTTACGCGTTTTACTAAGACAGGTACAATTTGAAGTTTTAATTTTCAATAGCTTTTTAATATATATTTTCAAGCTAACTTCACGACGTTTTTTTGCTAAATCATTGTTTCTTTTAATTTGTACCGAGAGACCAAGTTGGAATAATAAGCTTATATAAGAAACCGTTTTTATTCCATAAAATTAACTATGCTTAAAATGTCAACGATTCTCCCGAATATGCTGGCATTTACAATACATAGGTACTTTCTATTTATAAGGACCTACAATATAAAATTGACAGGAAAAATTTGAATGGATTTTGTGGTATCCAATAATCACTACTATTTAGTTGTTTATAAGTGTTAATGTTATAGTAATAATTTTAGGGAGATTGTTGTTGAATCTGTTTGATTTTTTAATGAGAAGTACATTATCAGCCGTATGTGCTTTATCTTGAAAAAAAAAATGATTTCTTCGTATAATTTTTCATACACTGCATGTATGTAAAAAATATACCACGGAGGCGACTTCCTTGGCATTTTATAACATATTGGGAACGATCAATCCCTAATGTATTATTTGAATAAAAATGTATATAAATAAATATATTATACTAATTATTCAAAAGTTTATCGATGTAGTATCACGTAGGAGATAAATTGTCGTTAATATCTTTGGGGTATCTGGGGGATAAATTGGTGTATTTATTTATCGTCAACTAAAGCATCTAAAATTAGAGCTCATTTAACAAATGTCCGTGATTAGGTAGTGGAATCGGAATGTTACAAATATCATCGCTACAAACGAAAATTTTATTGTAACACTCGAAAAGCGTTTAACATGCGACCCAAGGGTGATAATCGCATGTTTAACTACTAAGCCAAGTCTTCTTAAAAAAGTTAGTGGATAATATGTTATATTTCTCCTTTAATTTAGTTACTTTCTAAGAAAATCGTATGTAATGATTTGTTACCAGGTAGATAAAATAAATAACATGTAAGCAATGATCGATAATGAACAAAAAACATGCGGGTTCATTGCGTATGCGCATAGATAGTTATTTAAATAAGTGCACCTTAAATGAGCATAAGTACTTATTTACCAAAGCGGAAGTCGATAAATTTATATACCTGTATTGAGTTGTACCTACTTGGAACTTAAAATTGTAATAAATTTAATAAAACACTATTTTGACCGGATTGAAGTTATGTATTATTATAAATTTACAACTATTTAACATAATTTTAAATTTATCGGACGTTTCGCGTGCTTTACAGCGTGCGTGGTCACGGTGACGTCGGATAAATTTAAAATTATGTTAAATAGTTGTAAATTTATAATAATACATAACTTCAATCCGGTCAAAATAGTGTTTTATTAAATGAATAAAAGTTATTGTAATAAATTGTTTATTCTCTATATGGGGCATAAAGCAAGATGCAACATAAAAAAGGTGGACTTTAAAGACAACCATATGGATAGGACCATGCGGAAGAAGAAGTAGAGGGTTCTCTAGAAAAAAGTAGAATGAAGATATAGGACCGTTAGCGGGAAGCTAAAGGAGAAAGAAAGTCGTGGATAGAGAAATCTGGCAAAAGCTAGAGGAGGCTTTTACCCGTGAAGTGGTTCCGATCAATAGTACTGAAGTAAGTAACGAGTAGAAAAATAGGTATATATCTAGTATATACATATATATTACGTACGTTAGTAATACCTCATCGGGTAATATTTTTTTTTATATGTATGATTTTATATTTTATGGTAAGAAGTGTAAATAAATAAAT